AGCAGAGGGGAGCGCGGGGGCCCCCCCGTTGCGGGGAGGAGGCAGGAAGGGCAGATTGAGTTATCTCCTGTGCCGGGGGCCGAGGGCGGCGCGGCGCTGGCACCCAGCCCGGCGGCAATTACTCCGGCGGCAATTACTGCAGCGGCATCGTGCGCAGCGATGATGCCACGCTGCAGGAATGGCAGGGGTGGCTCGCCCCTGTCCCCGGGGCTCCCGCGAGCCGCCAGGCTGGGACCGTGCCCTGCGACCCGTTCTCGCAGCCCTGGGGGGTCCCGGATCTTCCCGGCTGTGCACCCCGGGACGGTGCTGCTCTGGATGTTTCCCCTCCCGGCTGCGGACAGGGGAACTTCTGCCTTGGAGTAAGCGTGGGGACATTCCTGTCACCTGGTGTCCTGGTCCCTTGCATGCTTTGTGCTTGTGAGCAGGATCGAGCTCTCGTTTCCACCACACACTGCACATTCCTGGTCTTTGGGTCACACAGGGAAGCCTGAAAATGGATCTGAAGGTGAAAAGGAAACAAGTCCCTTGTCTATCCCTCTCCCAGGGGATTGTAGGCAGCTATGGTGTGGGATGTGGTGTGGCACTTTCCAGCCTCTCCTCAACCAGAATTCACTTCTCTTTCCTCAACTATAATATTTATTTCTCTTCAAAAACTATCATTCCTGCCATTGTCCTGCCCTGTGATACCCAGGCACCAGAACACAGTCCCTGCCACACTGTGACAGCTGTTTCTTCCCACTGCCCTCACCCTGTCCTGCCTCCAGTTGCCCTGGGCTCCCAGTTGCCCTGGTGGGTACTGAGGTGGCAGCTTTTGGTGAGCTTCCCTCCCTCATAGCCCAGGGTTCTGGCTCAGACTCCCAAAGCTGGGATGCTCACACATCTCTGTCACCTGCTCTGTTTCTCTTCTCCAGCCTGGCTCTGGGTCAGGGTTTGCTGTTGCTGTGCTTCACGGAAGGACCCTCAAGCCCCAGCACTCGTCTAGCACTCAGGGCTGCCCCCACAATGATATTTCTCTCCTTGCAGACCCCCATTAGCTCTGCTGCCTGTGCCTCCTGACCATCCCATGGGATCTCCACTGGGGGCAGCCACCGCCACCCCGCCTGCTTCTGCTGCAGCCTGCAGGGATCTCCCACTGCCCTCAAGTGACCTTGTTTGGGGCCTGATGGCTATTAATCCGTGCTCAACAGGCCACTGGGTGAACAGGCCAGCTGCTACTTGAGGGGTAGAGAAGATGAGGGTAGCAAAGAGGGAGCTGCTTCTGGACAGATCCAAACCAGGGCTAGAGATGCAGGGACAGCTGAAGCCTGTATTGCAGCACAGGAGAGCAGCTGGTGAGGGGGGAAGGTGACCCTGGTCCCCAGGGCCACCACCCGAGCGTGTGCTGGGAGATGTGGTCTCCTGTGCCGTGCTCCCAGGCGCTGCTGCAGGAGGCTGGCACGCAGCACTCCCCCGACGCGTGCCGGCGGCGCAGGGCACGGGCAGGCCAGCGGGTTCATTGCCATGCTGAGCTCCTTCGCAGGGAGGGGATGCAGAACGGAACTGAATATTTAATGCCGACAAAGTGCCTTGATGCTGGTGGCTGGAAGGCGCCAGGGAGGGCCGGGAGCCGTGATCAGGGTACTGCTCACTTTGCACAGGGAAGGGTGGCACCAGCGTGTCCTCTGCCTTGGTGTTTGTAACCTCAGTGATGAAGGTGGATTTATGGGTCGACAGCCCCGACTGGCACCCAGCAAGAGCACCATGGAGTAGAGTTGTGGGGCACAACAGGGGCTGGGGGCTCATGCATGCAAAAGCAGGGGCTGTGAGGCTGAGGATGGCACCAGGCACTGGTCCCAGCCTGTTTGCAGGTGAGCTGTGCCCTGCACTGCTATTTGGATTGGTTTCTTCTTGGAAGGATATTGGGGGAAGGGGGGCAATACAAGCCCTAGGCAAGGGGAGATGTTTTGGTTGCACCCAGCTTAAAGAATGAGTGGTGCCCAAAGCCAGGGCGAGCTGGGAACAACTGGTGTGTTGTGGGAGGTGGAAGAGACAGGGCTGTCATTGCCAGGACAAGATAAAGCTGAAAGGGGGGACAGAATAAAAACCACGTGGAATACAAGGGAAGGAGTCAGGAGTGCCATGGGCTTCAGAGGACAGGATGAGGTCCTTGCATGGGGTCCGTAGCAAGGAGGGCTGGGCAGGGCCAAGGAGCAGCATCCCAGCTGCCTCCTGCATTCCCAGCCACACATGCCTTCCAGGGCTACCATTCCCTCCATTTCCCCTCCCTGGGGCACTTGGGGCCATACCCATGGGCACAGGGGACAGGACAGGGCAGGGGGTACCCCAGGCTCTCCTCCCAGCCCTGATGTTGGTTTCAGTGTGACCAGTGACTGGAGCACAGCTGGGACTGAACTGCTGGGGAGAGGAAGAAGAGCAGAACCACTCTGTCTGGGGACCGTGCTGCTGGTGCCCACGGGGGTCCGGTCCAGCCTGCCTGTGGGCCAGGGCTGTGCCCCCTGCCATGCACCACAGTCCCTTCTGCTTGCCCCCCGACTCACTCCTCTGCCCTCGCACTGAGGGAAAAAATGGGGAACACACCCTGGGCGTACAACGTGGGTGCCAGATGTGGGTGCCAGATGTGTGTGCCCCCACATGCACGCTCACCTCCCTGAGCCACGCGCAGGCTCCCACATACAGCATCCTGGTGCTGATGTGCACACTTGCACACACTCCTGCTGTCACACCCCGCAGCCTGGCACCCTCACAGCCATGCCAGCACACACGGTGCCACATGTGCAGAGACACACCTGCACTGTCACACCCGAGCACACGGCCACCTGTGCCGGCTGTCCTGTCACCACGCACGCCCATCACACGTGCCATGTGCTCTCCCATGTGCCCCATCACACGTGCACAGACTGTCACAGCGGTGTCCCACTGCTGTGCACACGCGGTCACACCTGCACACAGGGGTGCACACACAGCCCCTCTCCGAGCCTGCCTTGCACAGCTGCTTTGGGACCACCGCAGGCCGGCTGAACCCCGGACACGGGAGGTGCTGCTTCCACCGGGCTGAGACCGCCACAAATTCATCACGCGTGGATTCGGGATAGGTCTGGAATGACGCCCCTGGTCAGACACAGCCCGGGCACGGCGAGGGGTGCCCGCGGGGACCGGGGAACACGCGTGCCCTGCCGCGAGGCAGGGGCGGACGGCGGCTCTTTGTTCCTGCCGCCGCCGGTCCTCCATGATGTGGAGAGGGCGCGGGTGAGGCCGGCGCCGCGAAATGGCGGCCGGGGGGGCGGGATCGGGGGAGGAGGAGGAGGGGGAAGGGGAAGGGGAAGGCCGGGCGCCCTCCCCGCGCTCGGCGCCGCGCACACAAAAGGCTGCACGGAAAACACGGAGGGCAGTGGGCTGTGGAGTGGCCTCGCCGGGGACCTCCTGCCTGCCCCTGCCCTCACAGCTCTGTGTGACCCGCTGCCCGCACACGCTCGGCGGCTGCCCGTGCTCCGCACCGCACCCCCGGGCCCGTCCCAGTTTGGGGGGCAGTCGGGACAGCTCAGTTCTGCTCAGCACAGCCCAACCCAGCTCACGGCACAACTGAGCTCAGCCGTCGGTAGGGTGCCGCCGGTACCGGGAGTCCCGGCCGTGCGTGTCCCGGGATTTCCCAGGGAGGGCCGTGCTGCGGCGGGCGGGAGCGGGCGGTGAGGCCGGGCACGGGACAGTTTTGTGCTGGGCTCTTTGTGTGAAGGGCTGACACGGCCGAGCACTGGCACCCCACGGCCGGTACCTCCCGGGCAGCGAGAGCCTTCCCAGCCGCGTGTCAGGAGGACGCGTGGCAGCGCTGTGCCTGCTCCCCTTGCCTGTGGGGATGGGGCCGTTCCTGGGGCAGAGGCGGGCGGTGGGGAGGGGACCCGCCGGGGCTCCCCAGCAGGTCTGGGCTCCTCGGCCGGTAAAGCCGGTTTGGAGGAGCTGCGGGGCCGCGGAGGCTCCCGATCCTCCCGCCCGGCCCGTGGCAGCTCCCCGGGGCACATGCACCCACGGGGAGCTGGTGGAGAGCCTGGGAGTGACCCACGCACATGGGGCAGACCGGCAGGGGGTGTGGGGACAGAAGCCCATAGGGCTGGGAGAGGGATGGACCAGAAACTGCGGCTCCCCCCTCTTTAGTCTTTCCTTTCATCTCTGCCGCGCCTGCGTGTGGTGAGTTTGTTCGGGTCTCAGCCTCACGAAGTGGGGATGGGGACACGCTGCAGCCCCCACCCCACGTGTGACTCGAGCGTCCCACACTCTGGGCAGGTTTATGGTCGCTGCAGGCTGGGGGCCACTGACACCCAAAAATGTGTGGACACAACAGGGGAGGGGGGAGCTGCCCACCCACCCAAACCATACACAGACCCTGCAGCTTCTCCAACCTGTGCCTGCTTCCCTGCCACCAGCCCACCCCCTGCAGCAAAGGCTCCTCCAGTGCCACCAAGGTGCTGCTCCACCCCCTTGATCTTCTCCAAGAAAGCGTTGGCACAGGCTGGTGCCACCGTGGCTGTCACTCTCCCCTGGCTATGGTGAGGGGCCCTGCCTGGCACAGAGGGAGGTGTCCCCTCATGAACCCCCCATGTCCCTGCGCAGGGAGCAGGTTTGTGTCCCCAAAAGGTGACACGGAGGCAGGGCACCATCTGGTGGTGCCTGGGCACAGCACACGCCAGCCCACACGAGCGCTGCCCACCCACACTCACTCCCAGCGAGGCCCCACGCGCTGTGCACACACGTGTGGGCACCCCAGTGCCCAGAACTCGTTTGTGCACACACGTGTGTGCACCCCAGTGCCCAGAACTCGTTTGTGCACGCACGTGCCCAGAGCACGCACACGTATGCACAACCCCACGTGTTAACGCACTCCTCTGTGTTTGCACATGCGCTCGCCCGCTCATGGCTGCAGGCACTCGCAGGTGGGTGCCCAGCTGAGCCACGGGTGCCCAGGTGAGCCCACGGCTGCTGGCACAGCCACGAGATGAGCGTGAGGCTCAATGGGCCACCTGTGCCACGCGTGTGCCGTGTCTGAGCACGCGCACACAGGTAGGTGACATCTGTGCGCGCAGGTGAGCGGTGCTGCTCCCTCCGAGTTTCAGCCAGGCAGGCAGCACTGATAAGGGGAGCACAGAGGGCATGCCTGCTGCATTCCCTGCTCCTCTGGGGTAGCAGGGCTGGACTGGCTTTTATTGCTAGCAAGGATCTCCCTCCTTGAGCATGGGCAGTCATTTTCAGCTCTGCCCCAAATCCCCTGGGAGGACCTTGGGCTTGTGGGCCCCTCCTGCTTGCCCAGGGCATGGGCTGAGGTGAGCACAGGTGTGAGACATGGTGGCGCATGGGCAGCGAGCACCGGGCACTTCCTGGGGCTCCGAAGCCCGCCAAGGCAGCGGCTGCTCTCCAAGGGGTGTGTTCGGCTGCAGAGGTTTTGGCCGCCAGCCTGGCTCGCACAGCTGGAGAGGGAAGAGCTAAATTTAAAGGTGTCAGGGGGGCCGGGTGAGGCTGCCTGGCGCGGGGCTTCTCCCTGGCCGCCTGGGTGGAGGCACGGGTGTGTTTTCACCGCCGCTCCCTTTCTTTCACTGGAGGGGCAGAGGCCTGACGGGGAGAAGCGCTGGTTTCATCAGCGGGGAATGAGGCGAGGGCTGAGCTTGAGCAGTGCCATGTGCCCCAGCGGGGACATCCCTGTCCCAGTGCAGCCCTGACCTGTTCCATGCCAGCACCCCCAGACCCACACACTGTCTAGAAGCTGTACTGCTCACACCCGGCCAGACATGTGTCTGCTCAGACAGCTGGACACACGGACACCCCTGGACACACTGACACCCCTGCAGACTCCTTCATCTGGGGCCAGCCCCTCCCACATGCACCCCACAGCCCTGATCCTTCATCCCCACACCATTTTGGGGTAATAAAAGTACTATTTCAGGGTGTTTACAACTTTTATTTAAAAATCCCTTTCCCAGATCATTTTCAGGGCTGTAAGCCAGGTGTGTGTGAGCCTCTTGCAGGCAGGATGGAGATTTAAGAAAACCAACAGCAGGAAAGCAGGGGCTCCATCAGGGCCCTGAAAAGTGATTTTGACTGCACTGGCCCCCAGGGTCAGTGAGAGCACCCAAATTTTGGGGAGCAGGGAGGCATCGAGCCAGTGGGGTGTCCGTGATGCCATCCCAGCACCTGCAGGTACTTAGGCAGCTACATGGGTGCTCCCACCCCCCAACCACCAGACTCGGGACCCGGCAGGCGCCAAGCAGACTTGGGAGTTTGCTAAAATGAAAATAGAAAAAAAGCCTGGGACATCATCCAAAACTGCCGAGTGTTAATTAATTCGTCCCTGTGATGTGATCTGCCCTCGGCCCCAGAACATCCTAACATAGTCACAGCCACGGCCGCCCACCCCAGCCTCCCTGCTGGCCACAGCCTTATTTTAGGCAAGAGGTGGTGCAGCTGCTCCCCCAGCCTTTGAACAACCATGGGTGCTGAGGGCCCTGAGATGTGGGTCGTGGAAGGAGGGCAGCCATGCCAGTGTGTGTGTGGCCTTGACTATGGGGCCACAGCCACATCTGCCCTACAGCAGCCTGCCGGCTCCACAAAAAAGCAGCCCAAAATTCCCATGGGAGCTGGGACAGTGCAGCAGTGGGACACCCCATCACCCCTGGGAGGTTGGATGGGGTCCCACTCATCTCTTGTTTTCCCCCCAAGGTGAAATGAGAGCATCATCAATATGCTGGGTCTGGCAGGAGTCAGGTGCTGGCACCTCCCCTGAGGGTCAAGCAGAGCTGTGTCATTCCCCCATGTCCCACCACCACTGTGACCCCAAAACTCCTCCAGCTCCTACACCCCATTCTCCTTCAATGGGACAAGGGGGCACAGCACCCCGCCTGGCTCTTGACATAGGGTGCAAAGCAGCTCCTTCTGCCTCTGCCTGTTCCTGTCTGACTTTTTATCCCTGAGGTCTGGGATAGGGGCTGGGGTCATGCTGGTGAGCTGGGACCGCTCAGGGCCTGACTCTACAGTGGGGACGTCCCAATGTCATGGGGCTGGGGACAGTGATGCCACCTTGCAGAGTTTTCTCCACAAATCCCCATCTCTTGAAGTCCTGAGATGGGAGCAAGTGAAGCCAACCCCAAGCTTTGCCCTGGGAGAGGCAATACCCCATAAGTGAGAGTGGGGCTGGCTTGGGGGGCACCAGCTACTGCTTTTGGGGCTGGGGGTGGGCAGGAGGGAGGGGGAGGCAGGGGCGAGGGGAGCAGGCAGCGCCGTGACTCAGCCGGGGGTGGCAGCGGGTGAGGTGTTTGTGTTTCGTTTCTAACGTTACGGTTTCCACAGCGCCGGGAAGCAGCCCTGGGGGGCCACGGGGGCCCGGCGACACTGAGGGCGGGATGGGGCAGCAGCTGGACCGGAGAAGCTGTTCTCTAGCTAAGGCCACAACAGCTAAAAATACCGTGGGCCATTGTCACCAGCAACAAAGCCACTGGCGTATTTTCAGCATTATCTCGGTTGCCATCAGCTCTGCCGCCCTCCCGGGAAGTGCTGTGCCCACTCCACCCGGGTACTGCTCTCCAAAGAGTTGGACAGGATCTCCCACCTGCCCCTGGGTGCAGCCACTGTGCCTCAGTTTCCCTCCTGCACACTGTTCTGTGGTGCCACCCCCCATTCTACTGCTGTCATCCAACTTCTTTCACCCTACAGAGAGCCCTGAGCTGCCACACTTGTCCCCGTCACATCCACAGTGTCCCCTGCCCCTAATGAGTGCCTGGGGACACATGGCTCGCAGGACAGCCGTCTCCATCCAGGCAGCTCCAGTCCAGCCCAGGCAGCTGGAAGGGAACAGCGGAGACTGGAAGCAATGAGTTGGCCGAGTGTCACCAGGAGGTTGGTGACAGCCCCTCCTCCCTGCTAGGGCACCAGCCCTCCTCCCCGGCTCATTCCAGCAGGCAAAGCCAAGGAGGCTGCTAGGCTGCCCAGTCCAGCCGTGCTCAGCAGGGAGCTGTCATTGCTCGCCCTGGGTGAAGCAAGTTGGCGCGGTCTCAGCACAGCGACCGGGTGGTCAGGGAGGGCTGTGCCAGGCTGTGCAGGCACTGCCAGCAGCTGGGCACTGCCCCAGCCCCAAACCACCAGGATAACACTGGATTTGTGCAGATTTCCCCACTAAAACAGGCAGTGAGGGGGGTTTAACTTGCCTTTTCCCTGCCAGAGCAGCTCAGCTTCCCTTCCTTCCTGTGAGTCGTTCTCTACCACAGAGAGAACAGATCAGCATCAGCTCAGGGCAGGGACAGGGTGGTGGCAGTGACCCAGAACTGGGCTCAGAGGGTGGGTGGCCAGAGACAGGTTGGATCTGCGGGAGGCCCATGGCTGCCCATGGGCGCTTTGCTGGGCCAAGGCAAGCAAAGAGTCTGTCTGGTGGTGCTTGGATTTCTCAGCACAGCCCGAAGCTGGGACTGCTGTGGCCCTGCTGGGATCCCTCCCCAGCCAGTTGGCTGCGTCCCTGCATTGCTGTATGGGAACTTTAGGACCAGGGCCAAGCAGGAGGGACTGGTCACCCCTTCCCTGTGCTCCTCAAGTACCTGCTGAACCTCCCTGTCCTTGTAACAGCCCCAGCATGTCCCATAGTGCACACTGGGAGACCCTTTTGGTTTGCATGGGAGGTGGCTCTGCACCCTTCTCCCCTGCCCCATGCTCCCTTGACATCCTGCTCCACTTCATCTTGGGGTCTTGCTTGCTCCAGCTGCAGATCCTTGAGCAGAGCAACCTCCCCCTGCAGCACAGATGGTCCCTATGGCAAGGGGGAAGGGAGGTGAGACCTGCTTTTTGAGGGGCAGGGAGCCCCACTTCCCTGGGGGAAGACACACCGATAGGGCTGTGGTGGGACTGAATGATGCTGCTGGGGCATCTGTGGCTGGGGGGGGCGGGGAGGGTCGGTCATCTACACCCCAGAAATGGGAGAGCTGTGGGCCACCCCACCAGCAGCACCCCTGGAAGCAGAGACTGAAGAGTGAGTGGAAGAAAGGGGTCTGGTAAGAGCACAACTGTGCACGTAGGTGCAGGGGGATGCTGGGGAGCAGAGACCAGGAATACGGGAGATGATACGGCATTATTGTGGGGGGAGCTGTGGGGGCCAGGCAGACCTCGCAGGAGCAGATATTTGGGGCGGGGAGCGGGGGAGACCTGCAGCGAAGTGGGGTGTGTGAGACCAGATCCGCCACTGCAGCAGGGATTGAAGGGCGGGGGGAATCGGGGTCCTTCCTCAGCCTCACTCCTGGTCCCCGTTCCCCGGCAGCGGGGCGGGGAGCACGCAGCCCCCCCGGCCGGGCCCCGCGGTGGCGGCCCGGGGGAGCGGGAGGCAGCGGCACGGGGCGGGGAGGAGCGGAGGAGAGCGGCGGCACCGAGACCGGTCCCGGCGGCCAGGGCACCGCGGTGGGTCGGTACCCGGCGGGCTCCGGCGGCCCCGGCTCCGCGGCGCCTCCGGTACTCCTGGCAGGCTCCGGTGCCCCGGGTGGCTCCGGTACCATTGGAAGGCTCCGCTGCCCGGTGGCGGCTGCGCACCCCGGCGGCTCCGGTGTCTCGGCTCCGGGCACAGGCGAAGGAGGCAGCGGCCGCAGCCAGGCAAGCGGGCGGGGGCGGCCGGGCCGGAGCTCAGCCCCCCCGAGTCCCGGGACCCTCGCCCGCGCCCCCTCCGAGGGCAGGGGGGCACCCAGGGGGGATTGGCTGGAGGGTGAATCCGGAGAGGGCAGGGGGTATATACAACCCCCATGCCGAGAGTGGCCCGGATCGGGGACTTGCACAGAACAAAGGACCATGGAGGGTGTGTATGGAAAAGTACCGGCGGGAGGGGAGCGTTGGTCGTCTGCAAACTGGGCTGGGGGCGACGGTGCGTGGTGCGAGGGCTGGGTGTGCCAGGGCAGCATTTCACCCACTCCCCGGGCTGGGGGCTGCTCAGGGCTGGGGGCTCTGCAGGGAACAGGGGTTGCAGCCATTCCCACGTCTGAGGGGTTTCTGCCCCCCCAGTCATCCTACCGCAGGTTTAATGGTACAGAGGGGCTGCAGGATTTGCATCTGGGTCAGGGGGTGCAGAGTGCCTGGAGTGCAGCAGGAAGGGGTAAATGTGTAGGTGGGCGTGGGGGTCTCATGCAGGGAATTTGCGGTACTGTACGAGGTGGGCTTAGGGGTGTCGTGCTTGCAAAGGAGGGTTGGGGGCGGCTGGGGGGGCAGATGGGGACTCCGTGGAGCTGGCATTTGCCACTCTGTGTGCTGGTGGCAGAAATGCCACCTGTGCCTGCCCACATGATCTGCACACCGCTGTGCCAGCCACCTCTGGGCTCTGCACGCCGGTGCCCTGGCCATGAACCGGGACATGGTGGTCTCTGAGCAGCGGGGCTGGGCTGCGCAGGCACCGAGGCTCCGAGACCTGCAGGAGGGCAGCACTTCCCCTTACGCGATCTCGGCTGCGTGAGCGGGTCTCGCAAGGGGAGATATTTATAGCACTGCTCCACTAGCCCGAGGTTTGCACGGCCTGGAACGGGGCTGGCGGCTGCTGCCCCCCATCCAGAAGCCTCTGGATGCAGCTGAGCCGTTTCCCCGGCGGGGCCGGGGTGGGTGGGAGCCCGCAGGGCTGAACGGGCTGCGTGGAACATGCTGGGGCTTGCTGCCAGGTTACAGGCTCCTGCGTGCTCTGCTGCCTGCAGTGCTGCCTGCAATGCTGCCTGCGTGCTGGGTGTTGCGGAGGCTTCGCAGGGAGAGTGCAGGGAGCAGCTTTTGCTTTGGCTTGGGCCAGCCAGGCTCTGGCAAAGGAATACACCACTCTACAAGGATGGGGACAAGAGGGAGTGTTCATGTTTTGACTTTGCTGTGAAACACAGATTGGCCAGAGCTGTTGCAGGGGAAGGTGAGAAGGCAGGTGGGATTGCATATCCAGGAGTGTTTTCCACATGCTTTGTCCCTGTGATTCTAACCACCACGTGTTCCCAGACCCCAGCAAAGGGAAATTAGAGGTCTGGGAACTGCCCTGAGTCAATCCATGCTGCTCTGTACCCTGTGCATGGAGCAGCCTTCTCTTGGGTCCTGCTGGAGCCACCAGCACATGGTGACGGCCAGTGCCGGAGCCATGTTCCCTCTTTGTGTCAGATGGTCCCACAGACGTGGTCCTCTCCTGACCAGACATCTGCTCTGCTGATGTCTCCAGGCTCTTGCTTCCCTGGCACAAAGCCTCGCAGTGTGTGGGGACGCCTCTGTGCGTGCTCCGGCTCCTCTCCCAGTCTCCTGATCCTCACAGTTTGCACGTGCCATCCAGATGCCATTGCTGTGCTGCTGTCACCACCCCTTTCCAGACCCTCTCTCTGTCTTTTTTACCCCAGCACCAGGCCAGCAGCTGTGTTGTGCCCTCCTGCCATGCTCATGGGGTGCGTGGCATCTGCTTGCTGTAGGGTGGGGGAAAGGAGTGGGGCAGGGAGAGGCAGGAGTGGGAGATCAGGGCGAGGGATAAAGCCAGGCCTATTTTTATACTGCAAAGTAATTACCAGAGCTTTCCAATCCTTAATCTGCTGAGAGCACCCTGGTGTGATTGGATCCTTCCCCAAGCCTGGCAACAATTCCCCCATCACACATCTCCTGCGTCAAAGCCCTGTAAACTCCCACACTTGGGCTCACACTGGGATACATGTGCTGCAGAGCTGCCAGCTCGTCTGCCCCTCACTTCCAGCAGCCCCTGGCCCAGGAGCAGGGATGGGGACCCTGGCTGGGACCCTGGTTTGCAGCTGGGAGGATCTCACTGCCGAGCCAGTGGAGTAGGATGCAGCCTTGGCCACCTGGCTCAGCTGCTGGCTAGATTTGGGTCCTAGCACTGAACACACTAAATCCACGTTTTCCCCATCAGCTGCCTTCCAGGGTGTTTTGGTTGAGATTAGTGGCCCACACAGCACCCTCCAGCACCCATCCAGCTTGGCTTCCCACTGGCACAGACAGGCTTTGGGGTGCGTCTTTCCCGACGGCGCGCAGGGTGGTTCTGGATGGCAGTGCCAAGTCTCGGCTGGCTCCTTTCCCGGCCTCTCCCTGTCCTGTCCCCGTGCCAGGGGCTGCTGAAGAACCTGTTCCATAGCTCCCGCCACAGAGGAGGAAATGACGGGTGATGTTTGCCTCTGTACAGGGTAGAGCATGGGATCTCGACAGCCTAGGGATGGGGATGAGGATTCACCTTCCTCCACCTACCTGTGCCCACCAGCTCTTCAACACCTCACCCCAAAGTCTGACTGGGCTGTTCAGCCCTATTCCATGACAGGGAAAGGGGCTTTTTGTGCCACAATTCTTCCACTGGAGTTTGCAACACTCTTGCCAAGTATTTGGGAGTAGCCTTCGATCCATCTGTCTCAGTGCACGGCAGCAGGCACAAAGTAAACTTGGAAGTGTACAGCATGCAGTGCCCCCACAAATGCTGCTGTTCCACACAAGGACCCAGTGCCAGGGATTGCCTGGGTGAGCTGCCTTCAGGGCATCCCCAGGTGACCCCACCAGTGTCCCTTCCCCCTGCCTGGCAGGGACCCGGCGCCCTGCCTGAGGGAATGGCCATAAAAGGCCCTGAAATGGAGAAGATGGGCTGGGGGAGGCGGGGGGGGACCGGGCTGCGTCTCCAGCTAGAATGGGATCTTCCCGTCTGCCCACGCAGGTCAGGCTTGCCAGGAAGTGGGAGCGGAGGGTGGATGGAGGAGAGCAGCCCTGGCAGCCTGGAGCAGGTTCAGGAGGCTGGGGCACACCGTGCTCCCCTCCACCTCCCCCTGCTTCCCTGGGGGGCACGTTTGGACCATGGCCCGGGATGCCAGGATCTGCATCGCCTCCCACCAAGGGCTCAGGAGGATAAAGCTGCCTTTTCATCGGCACCTGAGCTGTGGGCAGTGGGGGCTGGGGACGAGGGGCACTCAGCGGGCTCCCCCACCGCCCCCCACTGCCTCTCCCCAGACAATGGCCACCCTTTGTTGGGGTTTTATGCATCCGGCCCCCTTCCCTGTGGCCCAGCTGGTGACATTTTACCACCTCCACATTCCCATGGGGATTCAAAGGGCACAGATGCACCGTGAAACCACAAAGCACATTCCCCCCTCAATGCTCCCCCTCCCCTGTGCCTCAGCATCCCCAGGGAAGCAGAGCCGGGATGCGCAGAGGGGATGCTTGCACTGGGAACCTTCCTTTGGGAGTTCCCTCCATCTTCCTGCCCTTCCCTTGTCATCAGCTTTCCATTCCTTTGTGACTCTTGAGACACATCCCTGTCCCAAGAGGGCTTGGCATGCCAGACCCCCACTGATGGGAGATGAAGGGAGGCAGCGTGGGCACCATTTCCAGGCTGGTGACACTTGACCTTTTGGAGCTGGAGCTGTGTGGGTGGTACCCACCCCTGCCCTGCAGGCACCCGGCAATGTCAGGCAGGGCCGGTGGTGGCAGACCCGGCGTTGCCCTGGGCTCCTGGGTGTAGCCAGTTTGTGGGTGTAGCCAGGCTGTGGGATACACAGTGGCCTCTGTCCCTTCAAGAGAGGTCCCAGTCATCCAGCTCCTGCTCCTTCTCTCCTGCTCCCAGACTTCTGGGGGCTTTCCCGCAAGGATCTGGGCAAATAGCCCAGTTCCTCCTAACCAGTCATTGCCTCCGCAGGGACCTTGGGAAAACAGCCTGTAAACAGGCAGATGGAGAGCGTGAGTCACAGTGACCGAGAGGGAAATAAATGCAGGAGGGGAATTTGCAGCATGCACTGGGTCATGGGGATGAATCCAGCCTCTCCCAGAGATGGTGAGTGGCTGGCACGTAGGTGCTCTCCTGTGGAGCCAGCTGTCCCAGGAAGGGGTGTTTATCCCACTGATGGGAATGTGTGCAGACAATGTGTCCAGACAAGCTGCAAAACTGATCCAGTCCTCTTCCCCCACCAAAAGCATCCCCTGATCCTTGCCATTTTCATCCCTAGGGATGAGCAGTCGCTGCCCTGGAGGCAGCAGCATTTCAGCACGCAGCACCCTGCCCGTAGAGCCATGCAGATCATTTCCCCGCTGAAAGTCACCCTGCCGTGGTTATTTTTGGCTGCCGGCAGGGCCGGAGGAGCTGGCTCTCTCCCAGCTGCTGCAGAGCGTCCCCTTTGGAATTGCGTCTAGCGTGGTGGGGAGCGCTTGGGTGAGCAGGCTGCCTCCAGCATCCCGCTCCCTGCTGCCAAGTACCTGCAGCTCCCTCGCCCTGCGCAAAGCAAGAGTGCAATCTAGTGGCTAATCCCACTGGGGACACCGGTGGCGCTGGGGATTAACTTCTGACAAAGTCTCCGGTGACACCGTGCGCCTCTCTGAGCGTCACCTCACCATCCCAGCTCGGGGACTGGTAGCCCAGGGTGGCGGGAGGTTTATCGAGGGTCCAGAAACGCTGTCCTTTTCCCTGGCCGCACTTGAGGCTGGAGGGATATCAGGCTGTGAGCCGCGGCAGTGTGTGCAGGGCCTGGGAGTGTGTTTGCCGGGGTGAGAGGTGCCCTCAGTGCGGTGCGGGGGAAGGATGCAGCTCCCGGGGATGAAGGGTGGGTTTGCCTGGGGGCAGCAAGCGGCTCACTCCAGGTGCTTCGCCCAGGATTCACCCGCTCCACCCCGGGGGCACCCAGCCCAAACCTTTCCGTGCTTCTCCATCAGGAGCCGCTATTGCCGTGCCCCCATCAGCTCCGTCCGCTGCCCGGCACGGGGGGGACCCGGGGCGGGGCTGGTGTTCCCGGGCGGCGTTGAGGTGCTGCCGAGCGCTGCTGAGAGTTTCGGGGGCGGGGGTGTACATTGCCTCTTTTTGCCCCCCGAGACCCCCGTGAGGCCCGGCTGGGGCTCATTTCCCGCTCTGCCCCCCCACGCCGTTGGCTGCACTGGGGGTGACGTCCCTAAGATATGCTGATTTATTCACATTAACCCTTTTCCCGCGGGGCTTGGGGGACCTCGGGGAGGCGGTGGCAGTGGGGCGGGGGGACCCCTTCGCTGCCCCGGCCCCTCCGGCCCGGGGTCCCCCCGCGAACGGCCCCTGCCTCCCTCCCTGCCCCGCGGGTTGCCGTGGGAACCGCACCGGGTTCTGATGTCACCGGGGCTGTTGCTACGCGACCGGTCCGCTCGCCCATCCCCGTGTGAGGTCACTGTCGCTATGGCGACGGCCGGTGCGGCGGGGGGGACGCGGGGCCTCCCCCGGGGCCGGGGGGCGGTCCCGGGGCCGCGGAGCTCCCCCCGCGTACCCCCGGGCGGGAGGCGGGCACGAAGGCGGCGAGGGTGGTGTCCTCCCCGGGGAACGGCAAAAGCTTCTCATTAAAAGAGTGGAAAAAGGAAAATAAAGCTTTTTTTTTTTTTTTTTTTTTTTTTTGGCTTGTCCCGAGATATTATTTTTAGAAATCCTGGCGGAAAAGCTGCCTGCGGCGGGAACGTCCTCTCGTTCCACGGGAAACGCGCTTCCCCGTGGAAACATGCAGCTGTGGGGCTGGGCTCCGTGGGGAGTGGGCACGGGAGGGAGGGGGGGTCGGGGGGCTCAGCCACGTCCGGTGCTGCAGCCCATTTTCTGCTCTGGTCCCAGTCCCCGCGGCGACTCGGAGACCGTGGATTTTACATCTCCCCAGCTTGCTTTCCTGCTGGAGGCGGTTTGTTCCTAAACCCTGACATCTGCTCCTTGGAAATCGATGGAGCTGCTCCTTCCAAGGCACAAATCCTGCTCCTGTCCTGCCACTGGCTCTGTGACCCCGGCCAGGCCAGGCACCATCACAGCCACTGGATTTGGCCATGCTCCTGGGGGCATGTCCACTCACTGCCCCTTTCCCCTGGGGACCTGCCCCATCCCTCCACCCTGCCACCCCCAGGGCTGCTGCCCTCTCCGGTGATCCTGCTGGCCACGAAGCCACGGGGATTAGCAGCTTCCTCTGGGCTGGGATTTAGCCAAAGCCACTTAGAGCCACACAGGGCAGGCAGCAGCCAGCTTGGTTAGAGAGAGATGGAGAAAGTCAGGACATGCAGCCTGAGCCCTCCTACGGATGCTGAGGAAAGGGGCTTTCCTGGGGTAAATAGCTCAGCATCTCATGGTGGAACCCTGGGTTTGGCCAAACCATGTGTGCTGCAGTGTCTCCCCTTGCCCCAGTGAGCCCTCAGCCTCTGTGTTATTTCCAAAGCTTTGTGGAGACCTGTGAGCCAAAAGTCCATCCTGTGCAGGCGGGCTGGAGGGGACAGAGGGACGGGAAGGGGCAGACGCCACTCACGTGGCACTGCCAGCCAAGATGTAGGACAAGAGCTGGCAGATGGAGGCGGGCAGACAGAGGAGCGTGAGGCTGCACCCAGACGCTCTCTGCTGTGACGGGATCTTGGCTCACTGCTGGTTCAACAGCTGCTGAGCTTCCCGGGGCTGGGGGCTGCGGGACTCCGGAGGGACAGAGGACATGGGGATGGGGAGCTCAGGTGGCTCCCCAGGGAAAGGAGCAGCTGGGGAAAGAGCAGGCAAAGGCTTTCTGCTGAAGTTGTGGAGATGAGGGGTCTGGCTGGAGCTGGCGATGGGGGATGGGGCAGGGGGAGGGGGCTCACAGCCCCATCTGGGACACATTCCTGCCCTGCTGATGGCACAGGGACCACCATGTGCACTCCTGCTCAGTTGGACCTCCTGGATCACTGCGGAGACCACAAGGAAAACTTCACACCCAGCCTGTGTAAAGCTTTGCATCAGGGGAAGCTGAGGGCAGTGGAAAGCCCCCATCCACCCTGCCACAGCACATGGGCAAAGTGAGAGCTCCATCTGAGGGAACCTGGGCCTGCTCTGGGCTCTTCAAAGTCCCCTCTGGTGGCCTTATCCTCTGCTAATGGGATCCTCTGTACCTTATGGGGAGAGGCTCAGGAGAAAATCTGGCTGCAATGAAGGGATAGGAAGGATATCCTGTTTCCCTAGGGAAGAGGTCATTGGGTAAAGGGAATCCTGTCCTGCAGCAGCCAGACCAGAGCAAAGGACTGCCCTGGGGATTGAGGATACCCTGCTGCCCACTGGGAGGTTTGAGGTTAGTCCTGCTGGCACTGAGCCTGTGCAGACCCTCACAGAGCCTGTGGTTTAACCCAGGTATTTGCAGGGTCACCATTATCACAGTCCTTACGCTCCCAAGCCCTCTGTGCTGGCTCCAGCCTGGCTCCTCACCCAGACTATTATGGGACAGCACAGGATGGTCAAAGCCCTCATCTGCCAGACCCCAGGCAAGGAATCCTGGTCCCCACTGAGCAGCCCCCAGGTGCCCTGTCAGCTGCCGCAGGACAAGGTAGGACACTCAGGCTCCAGCTCCCCTGCACCCACCTCTTCCACCCACTGCCTCCTTCTTTCCCGGGGGAGGGGGCTGTGGTTTGTCTGGAGTGTGGAGAGGTGGGAAGCTCTGTTCCTGGCAGAGAATCCCTGCCAGGCAGGGCAGCTCTGTGCACACCTGAGCCAGGTGAGGCTTTTAGAGAGGAGGCAGAAAAATTAAACCGGAGAATGAAGCAGAGAAACAAGGATCAAGTTTTAGACGCCTCTCCACTGCTTTACACCTGGAGCAAAAGCAGGAACATCCAAAGCTGGAGGGATGCTGAGAGGAGCTGCTGGCAGGGAGCTGCTGCACAGCTCTTACCCTCGAGTGGGACACAGCCAAAAAAGCTCCCAGATGAAGGATCGCTCAACTCTAAGGCTCGGGGACAGGGTCCTGCCATGCCACCATGGCTGGGGACACTGCTCCGGGTCTGGTGCCATCGTGTGGACACACGGCACTTGCACGAACCCCTTGTCCCTTTCCCTGGTGGAGAGACCAAGCTTGGCAGCAGTGCTCCCCCAGGCTGTACCGAACACCAAAGGGTTTTGTCCCACTCCCACCACCCCAAGTCTCCCAAAATCTTGCCCACTGTCTGCATCTCCTGCTCAGCCATCAGTGCTGCTCCTGACCTCTCCAACCCATCAACACCATTGCTGTACCCCACTTGTTCTGGCCACCCCAAATTGTGACTACATTGAGGGGTCAAGTACCTGCTGATGTGTGGGGGGGGGGGGGGGGGGGGGGAATCCCCCAAGCCCCCTGGGCAAGGGAAAGGGGGAAAATAAATAACCATAATTGGCCAGACATGGAAGGATATGATGGGACTGGGGGGAACCTGCTCTGCTCCCCCAGTCTTAAGAGAGGCCCTCTGCCACGTGTAAACTTTCTCTCCAGATTTCAAATCCCTTCTTCCCCCATTTAATACTCCTTCTTGCCTATTTTCCAGAAAATCCCGCGCACCTCTCCATGGACAATCCAGGCCCCCCTTTTCCCCGGGGGTCACCGCGGCAGCACATCCCCAGGGTGCCCCATCCCCGCGCCCCGCCTTGGGGGTCCCGGGGGGCTGCAGTGCGCGGCCACAGCGGATCCCCAGCGCCTGCCCTGCCCGGGAGCCCCATCCCGGCGGTGGCCCCGCGGCTCCGGACCCTCGCGGTCCCACCAGAGGGAGCCCAAAGGACGCGGATGGTGGCGAGGGTGGTGGCCAGGATGGTGGCCAGGATGGTGGCGCGGCCGGCCGGGCACGCCACAGCCGGGGAGGCGAGGGGGGACTGCCACCCCTCCGAGCGGCTCTCAAACGCCCCCAGAGCTCCTTCCAGCCGCCACACAGCCCGCGTGTGTGTCCCTCCGTGAGCCACCCCTGCCCGGGGGCTGCACCCCCTGCCAGAGCTCTCCTCCAGCCCAGGCCTGTGCAGGGAATTTGAAGCTGGACAGGTCGGAAAACAGCGGCTGTGGCAGCAAAGAGGGTGTTCCCAGAGCCCGAATCATCGCTCTGACAAGTGGATTTCCACCAGGTCAAGCCATCGCCCGACACCACGTCCAAACTGAGAGCACGGTGAAGCATCTCTGCTCGGATCACTTTGTGGTGGGTGTAGTTAGCCTAAATTAACGCAGGCGCAAAGCACCAGAAAGGGAGGGTTGGAAAGATGCTCCTGGTGCTTTTGGAACGTCGGCTTGTGGCATTGCACCAGAAGATTTCCCGTTCACACCTCGTCGTTCCACAGGTTTGGGTACTGTTGGACACATTGTTGGTGGGAAAAGGGAGCAGGATGGAAATAACCTGCCAGATGGGGATGGGAGATGGGTGGAGGGAGAGTCAGAGAAGAAATATTGCAGGCAATGCTTCATGATGTCAGAGGAAAGTCCCTCCCATTTGCCCAGCATTTGCTCGTTTATTTAAAGCCTATCATTAGTGGCAGCCATGTGGAAGGGGATTTAAACCAGTCCTGAGTGAATTAGGTGCCACATTTTGACCATGTGTCTAATCTACCAAAGTCCTCTCCAAATCCTGCTTTCCACTGAAAATTGCTGCTTTCTTCATCAGCCAGGAGGTCTGGGGGCTCCAGCCCTTCCCCTGCATGAGGGAAATTTTGGGCACATGAGAGGCTGGGGCTGAAAGCAGGAGGCTGCCACAGTGTCAACATGAAGTAGAGAGGCTGTGGGCCAGGGAAAATCATGGAATAAATGGGATGTGGGCCAAACTCAGGCAGACAGTGCCAGGCTGCTACTCAGAACTGCTGCCAGAGCAGTCTGGCACAGACAAGGAGAGGAAATCCCAGCCAGACCTGGAATTTAATCTTGACTTCCTGGTGAAGTGGCTGAAAATGTTCAGCTCTTGGGGACTTCGTGGCACAGAAGCAATGAGAGGCCAAGACACTTGTGAGAGGCCATCAAGCCTGGCTGGGAAACCCCAACATGGCCATCAGGAGGAAAACACCTCTATGGGTTGAGCTTGTGCCCCAGACTCCTCACAGAAGTCCCAGAGATGCTGGAAGCAGGGTGTGCATGTCCCAAGCCTTGTGGTGAGACAGCTGAGTTGGGGAAAGTTGCCTGTCCATCTGGGAAACACCTCAAGGAGGGAAGAGAGGAGAAAACAGGAATTTCCTTAGAACTGCCATGGCAGGCAGGAACACAAAGGGAAACTGAGGCATAGGAGAGTGGACTGGTGGGATGGGGTGGGACAGGGCAGTAGAAATGTGTGGATGCAGAGCTGTCCCCAGCCCTCTCCTGTAGAGCTGCTGCTGAGGGTGGCATTAGGTGGCTGGCAAGTGTAGGGTTAACCCAGCCCATCCCTTCCCAGGTGCTGCCCAGCCTGGCCCAGGTGGTGCCAGGTGGGAAAGGGCTGGGGGAAGCCTGCAGGAAGGGCTGATGGGGCAGAGGGGAGAGGCTGCTGGCTCCAGGCTTGGAAGGTGGTGGCAGCAGAGCTGTGCTGCCACACCAGAGCCTGTTCCCTGCCTGGAAAGCTGTTGTACTGACAGCACTGGGAGTTTTGCTTTGGTGTGACTGTGCCAGCCTCATGGCTTTCACCCACTCACCACCATCCTGCTGGAGAGGAGAACTGGACTGGCTGGACCTGTTGTGCTTGTGAGATGTGGGTTTGGGATTATCCTTAGTGGGTGCAGGTGGGATGTTTAATTTTTCCTTCCAGTTTCCTTCAGAGTGTGAAAATCAGGCTGAGAGTCTCTCCACTTTGTCCCTCCACTTAGAGAAGAACTTCATGCTGAAGTTTCCATTGTACTATCTCTGAGAGCTCATGATGTTCTTTGAGCTTTAATCCTCTCTATATGCAGCATAAATTTTCTGGTGGAAAAAATGAACATCTGCACGTGCCCCACTTTTTTTTTTCTTTTCAGTGGAATTTCTTTTGGATGCAAAACAAGAGTGGAAAAGTACAGCCCTGAAGTGTATTGGTACCTGGAAATTGAGGCTCAGAGTAAAATCCTGTCATAGGACACGGAGGAGAGAGTGGTATTCTTGCACAGGGAAGGTGCACCCCAGCCCTTTTTTCTTCCAGTGGAGCAGCAAAAGTTCCAGCAACCAGTGTAAGATGCTCCCACCTTTCCCAGCTGCCGGCTGTTGCACTGCAGAGAACAAAGCAATAAGGAAAATTGTGGTGTCATTAATGTGATGATTAAATTGGCATCTGGAGGTGTCAGCATGAAGAACTAGGCTCTCACATCCTCATCCCTGCCACCCCCATGGTCCTGCCCCTCAGCTCTGTCCCATGCCAGACCTGGGAGATGCTCCTTTGCAAATAAATTTATGTGAAAGTGCTGCAGGTCCTGTGGTGAGTTTCCCTCTCTGTCCTGCATCTCTGTTTGCTGCCATGCTTGTGTTTCATTGGGATGTTGCTGTGGCTGATTAGGATTTCTTTATGACTGGAGGTTTTGATGCTGGCTTGCAGAGTGAGTCACTACATGGCAAATGGGATCCCGTCCCAGAGATGTCATTTCCTCACCCGGTGTTCTTTGCAAATGAGGTTTTGCAGAGCTTGAGCAGCTGTTTTTCCTTCCAGCTGAAATCCTCTTCCCAGGAGCATTTAAAGACATGAACTGGGTGCTGAGAGCTGTGCATAGGCAGGGAATTAATATCTACCGTGGCCCAGTGGGAGATGTAACAAGTCCTGCAATCAGTCCTGGGAGGCCTGGGGGCCACCATAAATCAACCTGTGAGTGCCAAGTGGCTCTGAACCAAGGGGAGGGGACAGAGGCCATCCCTGTGCTGTGCCATGTAGTTTTGATCACTCAAAAAGGAGGAGACTTGGAAAGTAGCAAATAAAGCCATGAAGTGACTTCTTGGTGCCTGGTAAATTGCCCTAGACCCAGGCTCCATTTAAATGTATTTTGGGGATGGACTTGCTGTAGATGAGGTGGTCCCAAGCTCATTACGTGTTGGCCAGGATGTTTTCAGCTGGCAAAATGCTCCTTTGGGTGTCCCCTGGCTTGGCTCTCTGCTGAGGAAAGGCAGGGCAGCTCTGGCCAGGTGCCGAGTGTGCCACAGCTTTGTCACGGAGCAGATCTCGGCCAGGATGAGGCATTTCCATCACAGCTTGCTTGCTGCTTCTGGGGCGGGCAGAGCACTCTGCTGCAGCCCTGGGACCTGCCGCGGGCTCCCTCTCATCCTCCCCAAGCCTGGCTTTTCCAGGTTAAGGAAAATGTGGTGGTAGCTCTGCCTGTAGTGTGAGAGAGAGGCCCACAAGACACCCCCTTCTTCTTGCAGCTGCATCTGTCACCTCCAGGTACAAAATGCCACCTCCATCACTGGCTGCAAATCCCAGTGTTGGCTCTGCCTCCTCTGAGGACCCTGCATGGTGCCATGGAGCAGCGTCAAACAGGAGCCAAAAGAGGTGATGAGGGAGAGACAATAAAACAATGTGCTATTAGCAAAGCTCTGGCCAACAGACACATCCTCAGCTTGGAGTGAAATGATCTGACCCTTTTTTGCTCTTGGGTGATTCATTCTGACCTCAGTAAAAAAACATGGTCCCCAGCCTCGTGCTGAATGGAGGGCACAGAGCTGGAACTGTGCAGATCCTTGTCAGGATGCCTTGGCCTGCAGCCAGCCCTCATCCAATTCCATCACTGCCCAGGGGGCACGGCCAAGGCAGCAGCCCCGGCTAACTCAGCCTAATGGCAAAAGCCCAGTGCTCCTGCCAGGTGAAACAGCACTTCAAGTCTGTGCCGGCCCTGATTAGCAAAACTATGGTTGCCATGGAGCCTGAATACCTGTAACAGAGTGCCTGCCTTCCCTGTCCCCGCTGCAGACCCAGGGGACACAAGCTGTGGAGCAGAGGCCAATTTTGCTGCTCCTCAGAAAGCTGATTGCTTTCATCCCAGTGAATATTGAAATGGTCTATTTTTTTTTTCCTTCTTTCTTTCAGCCTCGTTTGGGGTAGAGAAGAAATGTCCCTCCCCAGCTACTCCTCAGATGGGCTGTGGGCTCTGGGTGCAGATGGTGTTGCAGGGAGAAATGCCAGGCTGTGAGTAGGGCACCAGCCCAGGGGTGCTGTCCCAGGGGAGCAAGGGCTCCCTGCTCTTCCTTTACCAGATGCCTGCACTCTGGAAAAGGTGCTGGGCAGTTTATGACCAGCTCAGAAAAAAGGATTTGGAAATCTAGAAACAGCTGCCACTTTTGTAAGAGGTTAAGATGGCATCTGCTTAGGCTGTGTGAGAGGGGAAGAGAAGGTAAAAATGCTGAGGTGAGATTTTTGGGAATGGGCACAGCTGTTACACAGTGAAAAAGGCCTCTGGAGAGTTATTGAGTAGAAATGCACAGGAGAGTGATGGCTAAAAAATTATTACAGGAGGGTGTCCCACACAGACAAGGATGGGTGGGTAGGCTCTGCTGGATAAAACACAGCAGGGCTGCTTTGGAAAGACCACCCCATTGACCTGTCTGTGCAAAATTGTCCAGATCTGGGCCTGTTTGATGCTCTGTGGGTCTCTGTGCCCTTCCTGGCCTTGAGGTCTAAAAAAAGCATCCTCCTGCTCTCTGAAATGCATCCTCTAGGCTTGTCATCTCCAGGTGACCAAAGAGGGGCAGATTTGAGTAGGCATGCAAGGAGCAGCCTCTGCCCCAAGGATGGGGAAGTGGCTGTGTAACAGTGCCCAGAGCTCGGGGAGTGCCTGGGACTGTGCTGGGAGCTGCCTGTGTGTGACTGTGCTCATCAGGGCAGTCAGAAAACAGAGGAGGAATGGAAGGCAGCGAGATTTCCCGGAATGCTTCTTTCCATGTAATCCCTGAAGTGGGCTCATCCTGAGGCTCCCTGTGCCTCTGCACTGGCACAGATCTGTTCCCTGCTTCGGGCATCCCCCAGGGAGAGCAGCCTGTGCACAGTCTGAAGGCAGGGAAAGAAATCCCTGCCTCATCACTTACTGCTTGTAGCTCTGCCACCCAGGGGGTGTGACCTGCAACGTGCCACTTCCCCGGCACTGTCACCCGTCCTGGCATCTGCCAAAACAGCCCTGCTGAGCCCTTGCCAGCATCATCCTGCTGCTGTCCCTGTGTCCTGTCCCAGCTGTCACCAGCACTATGCCATAACCCTGTTTTACTGTGTCTCCATCCCCAGAGGGGATGAAGTTTCATTTCCTCACTTCCATAGAAGCAGGCAGCAACTCTTCTCGTTCTCCTTCTCCCTCCCAGTTTTAGACACTGTTTCAAATTTGTTGATTTCTTCCCTTGAGTAATGTCTTGTTTACACTCATTTACCCTCCAGGCCTTTGGCTTCAGCAGTTCCTCTCCTCTGGGGGAAAAGAGGGTTTCCTGAGGAAAGTCAAGGCTCAGGGCAGCCTTAGACCCTTTGTGCCCTTGGAGTGTTTGCTCTGCCAGCTCCCCTCTGCTTGATGCTTTTTTGCTGCAGGGAGCAGAGGTAGGGCCAGGTCAGGGCTATCAAGACAGCCCAGGGCTTTGCTGGTCCTGTCCTGGGATCCCTCACCTGCTCTGGAATTTCTTTGAGCAAAGTCAAGGAGGAGCAAGTGGTACTGCTCCATCTGCTGTGTGCCCTGGCATCAGGAGGAGCACTGGGCCGTGCAGGACCCCAGGGGCTGTGTCCTGGTGCTGGAGGCCACCAGATCCAGGTAACTCCTCACGTCCTGGCCACAAGCACCAGGCTCGGCTGTGCTGGGGCTCAGCTATGTGGGGCTGGCAGCAGGGCTGTCCTGGCAGGTCTGTCCAGGTTCCTTCTCCAAGATCCCTGGACTGCCTGCTCCAATTCAGCCCTGCTGGGGCTCTTTCAGCTCAGCCCCTGTGCAGGATGGGATGCTGCTGGGACAGGCAGAAGGAGGCAAGTCCCGGGATGCCAGAGCCTTCCGAGGTGTCATCCTGGCAGGGACCGGGTCCACCTGCACCCTGCCACCCTCGGAGGGGATGAAGGGGCCGGCGCGGGTCGCTGTGCCCAGGGTCGCCTCCCCGTCCCGCGGGGCGGCAGTGCCCGCGGCGGAACGATGCGCTGCCGAGCCCGCATCCCCCTCCCCACCTGCGGGGCTGGAGAGCCCGGAGCCGCGGAGCCCCCACCCCGCAGGAGGAGCGGGACCCCGGGGGTTTGTCCGGCTCCGGGCGGGTCTCGGACCGGGCCAGCAAGTCCAGCGCGTCCAGGGGTCCAGCAAGTCCAGCGCTCAGGGACCGTGAGTGGGTCTCTGTGTGTGCGACACGTACACGCGTGTGCGGGCTCTGCAGCAGTTCCCGGGCACCGGGGTGCCCGCACGGGGGACGGGCGGGAGCGCGGGCAGACCCGGGCGCGGCGGGGGCGCTGGGCGGACGCGGAGCACGGGGCGATGCTGCAGCAACTTCTTCGCACCAAAGTGTGACGGGAGCCGGCTGGAGGCACCTGCTTCACGGGGAAGTGATTCCGGTGAGCCAGGGATGGCACATCTGGAAGTGGGAGACCTCGGGAAGCCGCTGGGTCCATCTGCATTTCGCCGAGATGAGCCCGGACAGACGGGCGCTGCACGGGGCGGCCGCGGGGCTGATCGATGCTTTACTCACCACCGAGGCCACGCAGATGACAAATGCGACGGCTGCCGGAGGGGCAGGAGACGTCTGTGCCGCCCTCCCCTGGGACTCTCAGAGTCGATGGAGTTTATTACCTTAACGTTATTTCCTCTCTCTGAAGGGCAGCTTTTTGGCAGTGCTGCCTTGCAGATAAGGACACAGCCCCTGGCAGGGGCAGGGTCTCGGCACCGCGATTTGTTTGGCCAGCGGTGGGAAGGGAAGCCCCCGGCACAGCCCCCAGCCTCTCAGCTGACAGCGGACAAGAGGGAGAAGGTGGATAAGGGCAGGAGGCTTCTCCCAGCTGAGCTCCGAGGGGAAAGCAGCGGCGGGATTTCATTTGCCTGCCTCTTAAGGCAGTGAAGTCTCCATCCCCTCCCACGTTCCCTCCCCAGCCCTGACCCTGTCCGGCGCAAGGGTGGTGGGACCTCAGCGTTCGCTCATCTGGAGTTTCCCAACGAGCCGTAAGTCCTTATCATGTTAGAAAATCAATTTTCCCTCTGGCTGTTTTATTGGTTGCCCTGCCAGCCCTTCTACATATCCGGTAGAATTGCTGCCAGGAGAGATTTTTGGGGCTGTATCCTGCTCTGCTGACATTCCCCTGATGGGGCAAAGGGGCTGAGGTGGACTGGGGAGCTGACAGGGTTGTTTGCAGATGGGAAATGGAGCAGGAAGCACTTGGGAAGCCTGAAGGAGTTTAGGTGGAGGTTTTGTGTGGTTTCGCAAAGGAAAGGTGGTGTCTGGGGCAGGATGGGTGCGGGAGTGCAGAGCCGTGGAGATCAGCAGAATCCCAGCACCCTGACACCAGTGGGCAGAGGGACAATGGGAGCAGGGGGAGCAGAGAAGTTGGGAAAGCATCCCACAAACCTCTCCATGTCTCCACAGCCATGAATCCCTATGTCAACTGCTCCAGTTCTGAGTTCCCCCTGCCCCGGCAAGACTTCCCTGTGGAGCCCATCAGCCCTGATCTCAGCAACAGGACTCACCCAGAGACTTTTTTCGACCCTAAGGATGCCAACCTGACAGAGGAGCAGCTGCGGGATAAGTACCTGGGACCTCGACGGTCCAACTTCTTTGTCCCAGTCTGTGTCATTTACCTGCTGATCTTCTTGGTGGGGGCTGTGGGCAACACGCTCACCTGCATCGTCATCCTGCGGCACCGGTTCATGAGGACGCCCACCAACTACTACCTGTTCAGCCTGGCCGTGTCTGACCTGCTGGTGCTGCTGCTGGGGATGCCTCTGGAGCTCTACGACATGTGGAGCAACTACCCCTTCCTGCTGGGTGCCAGCGGCTGCTATTTCAAGACGCTGCTCTTTGAGGCCGTCTGCTTCGCCTCCATCCTCAACGTCACAGCGCTGAGCGTGGAGCGCTACATCGCTGTGGTGCACCCGCTCAAAGCCAAGTACGTGGTGACCAGGAACCACGCCAAGAGGGTCATTGTCACCATCTGGGTCTTGTCGGTCGTCTGCTCCATCCCCAACACCAGCCTCCATGGGCTGCAGCCTCTCTACGTGCCAGGACGGGGGCGGGTGCCCGATTCAGAGATCTGCACCCTGGTGAAACCACGCTTGACTTACAATCTCATCATCCAGGTCACCACCATCCTCTTCTTCTTCCTGCCCATGGGGACCATCAGTGTCCTCTACCTTCTTATTGGCCTGCAGCTCAAAAAAGAAAAGATGCTGGAAGCCTTGGGAGCCAAGACTGGCAGCAGCCACAACTGCCACAACCCCCAGGGCCAGAAGAAAGTCAGGAGGAGGCAGGTCACAAAGATGCTGTGTGAGTCGGTGCTGGGCATGGCAGAGCCAGGGACTATCTCCCAAGGCAGTGTTGGGAGGGTGCTGGGGGGAAACTAAGTCATGGGCAGTCCAGAGCACCACAGCTGGGTCATCCCAGAGGAAGGCTGTGGGTCTGGCTTGTGGGGTGTTGGGGCAAAGGCAGATCTGGTCTGGCAGACCTGAGTCCAGCAGTAAGGACTGCTTGGGCCAGCTCCCTCCAAGCCATACTATATCCTCTCCTTGAGGGAAGTGCAGAGTGAGAGAGAAAGATGGGTCGGGGTGGGGGAACCCACTCCCCATCCCTCCACCCAGACCTCAAATTCTGGTAGCAGTGGCAGGGTTTCCAGAAGGGCAGCACTTCTGCCCAGCCCTAAGCCCCTGTGACTCTAACAGGGCAATGACCCAAGGCTGGATTGAAACATCCTCTTTCCCTCTGCTCTTCACTCTTGCTCCCCTCTCCAGCATGGTTCCCAGAGCCTCTGGCCCCCTTCCCAGGAGTAGGAGCTGCCTGCCCTTGGGTAGCTGCCTCTCCCCAGGATGCTGACCTCCACACCCTCCCAGTCCCTTGATAGCACAGCCATGGCACATTGCCCAGCCCAGTCCAACAGCACGGCAAAGCTGCTTCTCTGCCACCTCCCAGACAAGTGGTAACTCTGCTTTCCAAGGCACTTGGGCTGGGGACAAAGAGGGACCTGCCCTGCATGCCACAGAGATGCATTGTGGCATGGGTATGGCAGAGGACCCCAGGACTACCTGTACATATACAGACCTATTCCCTTTCCTTTGTTATAAAACAAACCAACAAAAAACAAACAAACAAACAAAAAAAACCAAAAAAAAAAAAACCAAAATCAAAAGCAGAGCACAAGGAAATGTCTCAAATAGCTCACGCTCCTTGGACTTTGCTGGTGAAGGTGGCAGGTTTCTGGAGGCTGGGTGCCAACAGGGGAGTGAGTCCCCCAGCTGTGCTGCGTGGCTGTGACAGGGCCAGCTGCCTGCCAGTGAGGAGTGGAGAAGTGCAGCACAGAAGGGCCTGAAGTAGCACTGGCAGGAGGTGGAGGGAGAAGATCCTGTCCAGACTTCCAGCTCTTCCATGACAAATCCAGAAGGCACTGAGGGGACCTTTCCCCTCTCCTTCCTCCTCTCTCTCGTGCTTCTCTGCTATGGCCAAAGCTGAAATGGGGCAGTGCTTGGCCAGGGACTGGAGATCTCAGTGGGGTTGGTAATCCCCATCTCCCCAGTAACACTGGCTCCTTGTCTCCCCACAGTCGTGCTGGTGGTGGTGTTTGGCATCTGCTGGGCTCCCTTCCACACCGACCGCCTCGTCTGGAGCTTTGTATCCACCTGGACCAGCAACATGCTCCACATGTTCCAGTACGTCCACATCATCTCAGGCGTCTTCTTCTACCTGAGCTCGGCTGCCAACCCCATCCTCTACAACCTGATGTCCACCCGTTTCCGGGAGATGTTCAAGGAGGTGATGTGCCGCCCCGGCCGCCCGCCGTGGGCGCGGAAGCCGTCGCCCAGCGTCACCCGCGCCACCACGCGCAGCACCGAGTGCGAGCCCGCGCCCGGCGCGCTGCCCCTCTCCGACGCCGAGGAGTACGAGCTGGAGGGCACGGAGAGGGGCCAGGCCACCACCCACGCAGTGTCCCTCTGCTGAAGAGTGGGAGGACAGGGAAGGACCCTGGGATCTTCACTGCCAGCATCCGTCTGACTGTGGCACTCATCCTGTGGTGGGGAGCGGGGCAGGAGCAAGGGGGGATCCCTGCCTCTCTGTGCCGTCCCACTGGGATGGAAAGGTTGGTGGTATCAGCAGCACTGCTCCAGGGTGGCAGTGACCTTGCTGTGCGCTGGATGCATAGCAATGCATCCCAGTGTCCTCAGCACCAGGCCTGGCCAAGGCCAGGGCATCCCTTGTGGTGTGGGGACAGCTGACTTCTATGTCAGGGATATGTCAGCAATCCCTAAAAATATTCCATCCCTCCCGGCCCAGTGGGGTGAACCTGCAGGTACTGGAGCCAGGGGCTTAGGCATCCCAGGCTGTTTTAGGACACAGGGATGGATGGTGTCCCCAGAGGTGTTTGCACCCGGGCTGAGATTCAGGGCTGTGTGAGACGTTTGCATGGGATTGTGGAAAAATCTTATGGGGAAAAAAAGGTCTGTGGGTGCCTTCTCCCTTGAAACCTCTTCAGGGCTGTCTGGCACCAGTGTAACCCTGATTTTCTGGCACATCTCTTCAGTGGTGCCAGCTGGTGCCTGGCTGAAGGGTGCTTGTACAGCTCCTTGCTCCCAGCCTTTCTCATGCCCTGCATTCCCAGCCCTTTGAGGGTAGGGGAAGGAGCACGGCTGCTCCCTCCAGAGCTGGAGTCTGGGGGGGGAAAATATGGGATAAAGGGATCTCCAGGCTGTCTGTAGTGCCAAGGCAGAGCTCCATAACTCTCTGTGTCACATGAATATGCTCCCCTCTCCCCTCTCTGCCCAGCATGTGCTGAGTGCCAGTCTCTTCTTCCTCTGCCCACCATGGTCACCTGAACTTGTGGGGAATGTGGGAAGCCCTCCTCCATCCTTGCCCTGCATGGGCTGAGCCTCACTGAGAATTAAAAAAACCCACTGGCCTGATTTGTGCCCTGCTTGTGTCCCCTAGCACCCAGCTCTGCTCCCAGCATGGGACTGAGCCCAGGCCATGTTCCTGGGGAGGGGGATGGATGAGCCACGTGCCAGGGTGAGGGACACCAGGGCTGTTTCACCAGATCTCCCTGGGGCTCTGCTGCTGCGGTGGGTCTGCAGGTCCAGGGACACTGCGGGCATGGCAGGGAGGGCACAAGTGGGATGTCTGCACCCTTCCTGGCCCTCAGGCTGAGCTAGGGCTGGGGCCTGTGCAGAGGGACAGCTGTCTCTGGAGCCGTGGCCATCAGTCCTTCCCCAGACACATGGCTTGGAAAATGTCACGAAAATGCCAGGGAGTGTGGGCTGGCTGGTCACGCTCTCCCAGGCTGGAAGGACCCATCGATTTCCTGTCTGAGATCAATGCTGCTGCCTTCCCCATGTACACCAGGTCCTGCAGGATGAAATACTGAGGATCTGAAATGGGAGCTGAGGGACCGCCCAGGCAGTTTGAGCTCTTGTTTTGCACTGCTTACTCAACCCCAACTCCCTCACAGCCAGCTCTGCAGGCTCCCCTGGCTCAGCACCACATGGCCGTGCCTCTGGTCAGCATGGGCTTGCCTGGGGCTTGCTTGAGCAGAAATACTGGATGGGCAAGCCCCAGGCAGAGCACTGGCAGCTGCTACTCTGCTTTCAGCCCCTCCTAAGCACATTGCATGGGACCATAGCCAGGCCAGTGACCAAGAAGAGGCAGGGCTTGGGGCTTGCACACTCCCTCCTGCCCCCATCTACCCAGTCCCTAGTTCAGAGGCAGTGCAGCTGTCTTCCCCTGCTCCTCATCCCACGGCCAGCTCTGCCATGGACAAAGCCCTTCCTTGACTCCTGAGGGGTCCTGATGGTGCTGCTGGGTGAGGATGGGCATTGGGCTGCAGTAACTTTGTGTTTCAGGGTCCTGCTGACTGCTTGCAGCTCTCTCTGGAGGATGTCAGAGTGACCGAGGGCACTGAGATCTGTGTATTTCATCCTCTCTCTCTCTCTCCTGTCAGTGATGGTCCTGGCAGGCACAGCACCCTGGCAGCCCTGTGGGGCCCCTTGTGGCTGCTGCGTGGGTGGAGGTGACTGATGCCTCCTTGATGACCATTATTGCCCCATCTCACTTCACCCAGCTGCTTCCTCAGCCACAAATCTCCAGGGAATGGCTTTTTAATAGGCAGTCAATAGTATTTTATAATGTAGTGACAGACGCCTCTGTGGAGTTTTGGGTCCCTCGTGCTGCACGAGGGCAAACTTGTCCTGCTGTTCCTGAGCAGCCAGGCTGTGCAGGGATACAGCTGTGGCTGCTGCAGCTCAAGTGCCTTGGCCAATGTCAGAGTGTGTCAGAGTGTGTGTTCCCAGGGTTTTTTTACAGGATCCTCGTTTGCAGCACAGCTGGGATGGAGTCCAGAACAGCCAGAAAGGTGAGGCACTGGCTTTGCCTTTATCCAGCCTTGTGTTCCCAGCTGCCCAGACATCTTCTGACCTGGGACCCCACATCCTCCTTGGTGTCCCCAAATTCAGACATCTCCTAGCCTGGGACTCCCATCCTCCTTGGTGTCCCCAAATTCAGACATCTCCTGACCTGGGACTCCCCTTCCTCCTTGGTGTCCCCAAATTCAGACATCTCCTGGCCTGGGACTCCCATCCTCCTTGGTGATCCCAAATTCTCCTCTCTCAGACACACAAGAGGAGTATGCAGCTGAAGCCCTGGCCTATTGGGTGGTGGTGCTGGGGCTGCCCCACCACCCCCTCCACATGCACAGCTGGGCTAGGATCACCCTGGAAAGCATCCCAAAAGCTTGTCAGAGATGTAGCTGCAGCACAGCTGGTAGCAGTTCCTGGGTGGATCTGTATGGGCAGACTTTGGTGCCCTGGCTGGGTTTGGATGATGTGGAGACTTCCCGGGTACCACATGCCAGCTGGGCTCCCAAGAGATGCTGGAATCAAAGGCTGCTGGACAAGTCCTTTAATCCTATAATTAATGAATGCAGGAAACCTAATAAAAAAGGAACTGATCTCCTCAGGGAGAATGGTCTCATGAAGAGCATTTTACACCTCTCCACCACTGGGAAGGCAGTGGATGATGACTCCTTCCTGCCTCAGGCTCACTGCAGCCCCCAGGAAGGGAAATGATGCTCCACTGCCCTGAGCCCTCAGGGCCAGCCTGGCCCCTGCCACCCTCCCTGTATAAATTAGAGGGATTATTCCTCCCAGGGAGGTGATATAGAAGCAAAGGGCCCTGTGGGATAGGGAAGGCAAGGATGGGCAAGTCGTTCCCACTGCTCCCACCCCTGTAACTGGCCAGGGGGAATGGTGCTTCAGCATGGTTGGGCCGAAGGAGCATTCCAAAACACTGCCTGGGAGTCAAATAAATATTTCAGAGCGCAAGGGACCCCAGATGGGTCAGAGCAGAGGTAAATTGAGGGGCCAGGAGAGGCAGGGAGCGTGTGGATGCCATTGCTCCGTGTCTTTGCTCGGAGCAGGGAGAAGCATCTCTCTGTCCCTGCAATAGGGAGCACGTGGTCAGGTTGGGCTCCATGCCACCATCTCCTCTCCAAACACTTTGTTTCTGAAGAGCTGTTCCCCAAAACGTGTCCATCTGTCCTCCCAGACTTATAGCAGCTTCTGTCCAACTGCCAGCTCCTGCCAAATCACCTGCTGCTGGCTGCAGGAGCACCCTCCTGCCCCCGTGCCAGCTCAGCTCCTGGAGCTGCTTCCCCCAGGCTGCTGCATGCCCTGAGTGACACAGTGTCTCCAGAGATTCCAGTGAAAAGATTTATCACCACAGCTTTGGGGATTAAAAAGCAATTCATCTATGAGGCTGCCCCAGCCTTGTAAGGCTTTTATTTTTGTGCTGTGATTATTTGCAACAAGCATGGGGTGGGGTTTTTTTCCTTTACAGAGCCAAACTCAAGTTTTACAGCAATTGCCTTGTATATCTGTAGCCATGATAAATGGCTCCAGAGTGTGCCAGCGGATTTTTTGCTGCCCCTTTTCAAGGGAAAATGGTTTCAAGGGGAGGGTTGTTTTTCCCTTCCTTCACACAGTCATGGGATGGGGAAAACTCATAGAGTGTGAATTTGGCAAAACCACTGTGAGCCTGGGAATGAGCAGTCCCTGTCTCGGGCTGGGCAGGGGGGCAGGTTTGGGCTGCCCAGCCATGGATGCAGCACAGCAGCCTTTCCCACCAAGATCCCAGCCTTTGTCAGGGGAGGAGGGAGGCAGGAAAATGTAGATGTCAGGAAACTGTGCTGGGTTTGAGCTTAGGCTGCTTTTCGAACCATATTTCATTTGCTCCCCTTATTCCAGGCTAGTGGTGGTGGTGAAAAGCCAACACAGTGCCTGCAGATGGTGATGGGCAGGGAGGCAAACAGACAGCAAGGAATCACAGAATCATGGAATAGTTCAGGCTGGAAGGGACCTTTGAATGTTTCCTAGTGTATATGTAGAATTGGATTCTGCTCCTCAGGGACCCCTCTGGGCTCAGTTTTTAGGCCCGTACCAGAGGCAGCCCATCTTCCTGCCTGGCTGCTCAGTGGCTTCCCCAAGAGCCAGGATGCTCACAGAAATCATCTCCCAGGCAGGCACTGCAGGGAGGCTGGGAGCAGCGTGGGGAGCACAGCCCAGCCAAGGGCTGGGGTGGAGGAGCTCAGGTGCAGCTCTGGAGGCTCAGGCTGACTCAGCAGTGCTGCACTGTGACTGTCACCTGCACTAGGGACAGTCTCCTCCATGTCACAGCAAACCCAACAGCCCTGCAGGGATGAGGCCATGTGCAGGGAAGTGATGGGGTCCTTGCACCCCAGCTCTCCCAGCTTTAGGGCACACAGGGGGGGAAACACTGGAGCTAGAGGGACAAAGGGCATTTCCAAGAAGTTGTTCTGTGTATGAAATCCTGCTGGCAGGGTGAGGGGAAGGACACAGTGCACAAAGCCCTTCCCCACAGTCTGGCAGGGACAATTAAAGCCACTGGGCACCTTCACAGGCATCAGCTGGGGCAGGGTTAAAACCCCACCACGAGGG